ACGACGCGAACAAGGGGCCAAAAGGGGTGTGCAAGACTCGTACCAAATAATGGCATCTTCGGATCCTTCTGGCTGTAGTCGCCAATGAGGGCCTTGTCCGGGTTCCTCTGGTGCTGCTTCAGGCAAACTGCGAGCGAGGTGTTTGCAGGTATACGTGACGGTCCATCCTTGGGGTCTGCGTGAAATGTCGCTTACGGCCCAGGCTGCGCGGTCGACGGCGGCCAGAAGCTCGACAATGTGGCTGGCCACGGACCGCTGCAGCGAGGGGTCATCTTGGGGCTGGTTGGCGAGCGCGTCGTTGACGCGCACCGTCCTGGGTGCCGTGGGTTCCATTGCCGGAACAGGCGGCGACGGCGGCGCCCCGTCCAGTGCTGGGTCGATATTGGCATTGGCATTGGCATTGGCGGGCGCCGCTGGTGTGTCGTTGTCGGCACTGCCTAGGGTGAACTGAACCGTATTGCGAATATCAAGGGTAATCGAGACGTGCTCGGCGCGTTTCGGGCGAACATTGTACTCAATGGCGCGGCGTAGGTGGTCCTGAATCTGATCGGGGTGCTGTATCTGGATCTTGTTCGTGTGCGTGTCGTCGAGTCGCGAGGATGGGGCAAGGCCAAGCAGAGCCTCTGCCATGATGCCGCTCCTGTTGGCGTTCCCTCCACCGCAAGCGCGACGGCAGAGAAGTCGCGTGATTTGGTGCCTGGCAGTGGGCGATTGCTGGTCGTGATCTGGCTGGTCAAGCCAGAACGAGGCAATGTCGACCGCTGGTGAGCGGACATTCGAAGAGAGAGCACCGGCTTGGGGTCGTCTTGGTGAGGGTGTGGGAGTGATGTCCGCGGGGGTGGTTGTAGCGACGTCTTGTGATTGCTGTGCCGATCTGGAAGACATGGTGATGTCATCACGTGATGAGTATACGCAACCCACGTTCACAGCAGCGTGGTGTCGACTTCTACAGCCAACTTGACAATGCGCAAAGGTCAGACTGTTCAATCAGTCGGTGTTGCATATAAATGAAGTATCGTCATTCGAAGCTTTGGCCATAGGTTGATGAAGGGAATCTGGAAGGAGTGATGTGTGCTCCCTCGCAAGGCTGCAACCTCTATCAGACTACCTGAGGTAGGTACCTACCTAGGTAGGAAAGCATTAATTGTGCGAGGACTGTTTGCTCCCACGCACTCGAAACACTCTCATCATGATAATCTATCTATTCTGCTCTTTCATCTATCTTCTTCTAAGGTCAGTGATGGAGACGTCGTCTAAAACCTACCACGCCGCCCAACATTGTACCGCAGGAACCTTTATAGACCATCCATCTGCCATAACCTCGGATTTCGAGGATACCACCTCAGTTTCCCTGGGCTGACCTTCACCCGGCGCCTTATCGCATCGATATCCACATCGTACTAGATGAATAGCACCTGCACCGCTTCCTGGCATTCCTGAAACATGTACATGCGGGAAACCATCAGACCAATGTCGCAGCATCATCGTTATTCTCTGACCTGCCCTGGGTCTGCGTCTTAGGCAGGTCCCGCATCTCAAACGAGCTGGAGTCCTTGCCTGTCTTCTGCCTGACGTCGAAGACTCTGCCTGGATGTGCGATATTGAGCAGAAAGATGGCAGCGGTCATGATCCTGAGACCCAAAGCCGGTCAGCAACAAAGCCCAGAGTGAATACGTCAGTGTTCAGACATGCGCTGGAGACTTACGATGACTCAAGGGCGATGAACTTGGCCTCATTGCGGAACTCGACGCCGTGATACCCGTCCTTGAGCTCGACGATGCGGTACGCACAGCGGATCAGGATGAAGATAACAGCCAGGAACAGGAAGAAGAGAAAGACCTTCATGCGCCGCGTAACCTCCTGGCCGTGCTTGCGAAAGTACGCAATGAGATAGTCGGCGAAGAGACACACGAACGTCGTCAGCGCGATCACCTGGATGCTGAGGCCGGCGAGGGAAATGTCAACCCCGTTCTGGACCTCGTCCTCCTCGGTGCCGACGGCTGAGAGGGCGCCACCCGTGGCCTGCAGAACGAGGGAGATGATGTCGGCGGGAATGAAGATCCAGTAGAACACACGCGGGTCAAAGCGGGATATCGAGCGGTCGCTCCAGTTGATCCTGGTGAGATGTAATGATCAGTCCTGCCGAGAGCAGCATGAACGACAGCGAGAAGGAGGCGCCGGCTTACATCTGGGAGAGAAGAATGTAGATTGCTGAGCACAAGAACACGGGAGCAACAGTGATACAAACTAGTAGCTAGAGTTAGGCTCCTGCCACGTATTGTCAGACGCAAGTCGAGAGATGGCAAACTCACTGATCTGCATGAGAAAGGCCTCGAAGCTGAAGGGGTTGTGGTGCAGTATCAGCCGGCCCACGTAGCCGACGATCTCGAGAATGCACCCGGCTGCCATGCAGCTCGCATAGGTCCAAGTTTTATAGTGAACCCCCTGAATGATGTGCAGGGCCATTGAAACGCCGAATAACGTGATGAAGACCGTGTTCGCCGCGATCGACGGCTGATATCGCAGGATGCTCCATTCCAAAGGACAGAGATCAAGGGTGCAATTGGCGTCAGCGCCAAAGGGAATCAGATTTGGCGGAGGAGTTGCGGCCATGATGTTCGACTATCAAGACCTCCTTGAATGGTTGCTGATGGAGACGAGTGGATTGTACTCGTTGTGATCTCGTCGAAAGGTAGTCGGGACTTTGGTATGATCAAAAATATCGTGGTGTTCTCTGCGTGGCTCGTCTAATGCCAAACCTACAACTATTATCCTCAATTCTAGACGGAAACGGGTCTTCTTATTAGTCCATCCATCGAAGCCGGTGAAAGGCGGATATGTCGGCAGTGGCCGAGCGGGTCGTCGGTCAAACAGAATGACGACCGCCTCCGTTCGGGTGACCCACGCAACGTCAGGCTTTCACTCGATATTGATACATGCGCCGATACGAAGTCTCAAGACTCAGCCCCCTCAAGCGTGTTGATTATGTTGTCCCTTGGCGATTGGAACCTAGGTAGGTATGGAAAGGGGGCAAGGGCAAGGATCCTGAAAGATAATGCAAAGGACGATTCATAGCCACCATGTTTTTGGATTCCGTCGAAAGCCGGGCGGGGCTCTGACGAAGTGAACTCGGCAGTTCTCAATGATCATAGGGCTACTATACGAGCAGGCGTTCCTTGCATAGGTAGAGGGCTAGTGAGCCTTGGGTGAAGGGGGCCGTAGCCAGTGTCGGCCGGTACTCACTGTCGGAGCATCCTCCTTCTAGCCACAGCTCAGGAAGGACAAGGTATTCAATAGAATCATCTCGTCAGCTTCATCATCGTGCCTGCGTGAGGCAAAGTACAATTGAGCGAAATCGCAAGCAAATGTACCATCGCGGTCGTGGTTGAAACAGCCACTCAACGGGCCCCTGCTTGTATGAGGCTCAACATAATGGTCCTGCATATCAGTGCCGTCTCATCTGCCTTCTAGGCTCCTTACCTAGGGTCAGCATGGACCGCACCCTGTTATCATCCAATGACGCACGTCATGGCGCTGGTGTGAACTCCTCCTATCCCTGGCCATTGCGCGGCTGCTGTGCAATCGCGTACGCAAAAGGCTTCTGAACACCGAAGTCCGCGCGACTCCAACTCCGCCGCGGCCTATCCACACCACATTTCCCGAGTCCGCGTTTCACGACTCGCGCAGCCCGCGCCGGATTCTCTCGATTCCCTTGCTATAGAATGCTCACGTGTGAGCCTTTTCAGTCTGGGGATAGATAGCCTTTCCACTACCATTTCTCGCCCTGGTGCCTAACAAATAGATGTAATTCATGACACGATAAGTGCCCGATGTTTGACATTGGTGACGCACGCAGAGGTGTACAGTGCCCCTGGCACAGCATCCCCTCCGTCGAGTTCTACGGAAGATTCCGAGGTAGCAGGGCCGATTCGGGAACCGTGAGACCGGGCAACGAGCGAGCAACCATGGACGAGGGCTGGATGCCGCTGACTAAATTTGCGAAAGGGTTGACACGGTTCGTGGTCGTTATACATGTACATCATTGCAGCAATCGGGATCGACCAGTCTTGCTCTTTGGGTCACCCTTCGACTTGAATACACGCCACACGGACACATCGTTCACGCAGAGGGTGTTGCGGTTCAGTATTAGATGTATTGCACTAACAAAAAAGAATTCATTGTGGGTATCATAACCCCCGCCTTCCGCACTGCGATTCATCCAAGAATCCCCAAGCCAACGGTGTCGCTATTCAACTTGTGAACCTGTACTCCTCTCCCTTTCTTATGGATTTGATAAGCAACAAACAACAAATGTTCGCAAAACCAGGCACCCAAGGCGCGATTGCTTATTCTGCACTTGCCTATAATGTCGGATTCGCACATCCTAATAATAAATCTTCTCGTCCCAAATGGGTGGTCGTGCGCCCTCGGCGTCCCACTGAAGCTTGTTCTTGTCGTCAAGCGTGCACCCCTCGTCGGTGATGCCGATGACCTTGCTCGTCTGGATGATCTCATCACGAGAGACACCAGCCTTGTCCTCGGGGATCCACAACAGAGGAGTCGCGCTGGTGACAGAGGGAGGGAAGTAGGCGTCCTTCTCCACCTGCTCGGAATACAGCTGGTCGACATCGACAAGGTCGTGGGGCACCAGCGCACGGAGGGTGTGGTAGTCGGCGAAGATCCACGGCTTGAGCCAGCGTGTGATGATGTTGCCGCGCTTCTCGACAACGTTGTCGCCGTTGCCAGGAAGGACCTTCTTGAAAATGGCAGCCTTGGACTGTGTGCCAGCAGCGCCCTCGCCGTTGGTTCCGGCAGCCGCAGCTTCGACGTCGCCGGTCAGGAGAAGCTCCTCCTCGACCTGCAGCGTACGGGGGAGGCTGTAGAGCAGGGGGTTGAGGGCACTGGCGAAGGTGATGTGGCCCAGAATCGTAAGAACGAGCAGGACAACGGCAATGACGACAGGACCGGGAGCCTTCTTCACGGAGAACATGCCAATCATGCAAATTTCCGCGAGGTAGACGCCGCAGGTGAGCTGCTTGAGCGCACGAGGGTAGATCAAGCCTCTCGTGTCAATGTTCGTATCCGTAACGAACAAGATGTTGTAGCGGTACGCCATGTAGAAGCAGCCAATACCGATTGTCGACCAGAAAAGCATGATGGGCGCAATCACAGCGTAGGCAATGCCTGGAATATCATGTTAGCACACAAGTCTTGTGCCAGAGGCATAGAGTCCAAGACTTACTAATGACCGCGATGTTGGTGTAGACCGGCATGACAGACCCCCAGGAGATGGCGCTGAGCTGGGCCCACTTGTTGTACATGGATCGGGGGGTGCTTGTGAGGAACCTGTAGATCAGGGTGAAGATGATAAAGCCAACCACCTGGGAAACGACGCTCGCAGCGATACCCAGACCCTGGACGATGAAGTACGAGACGTAGAACTGGGAGGAACGGGGCAGAGCCTCGGAAAGAATGTCGAACACTGAGCTAGGATCATCCACGATCTGCTGGGCAGCAGCCACGGCCGAGCTAGAGATCGTGGTGATGAGGAAGACCTGGATGAGTTGGAAGCAGAAGTAGGCGTTCTGAGTGAAGAGCTCAACACGCGAGGCAGAAGGCTCGCCAGCAATCTTGGCGCAGAGACGCATGATGATGGGAACCAAGGCCATCAGGATCGCCATGGCAACACTGGGCAGCAGGCCACCGACCAGACCCAAGATGATATTGGGAATCTTGTCGAGCCATGTCAGGAAGCTGACCTTCTTGAGGGTGTCGACTTGGGAGATCATGGCAACGCCAGCAACAGGAATGGCCCAGAAGAGAATGAGAACTGTGATAAAGGCGGTGACGGCGTATTTGCGGACTACCTTCTGCCACCACGGGATGGACAGAGACTTCCAAATGACCTCGCCAGGGGTGATACCGATGTACCTGGGGCTCATATGGAGGGCGTGGTGGTGGGTGAGGACCTGGAAGGCAGCCTGGGCGTCAGACTGAGTGTAGAACTCGACAAAAACGGCACCGTTCTTGGCATAGTTGCCGGCACGGTACTCGGCCTGAGCAGCGTCGACCTGGGGAATGAGCCTCTGGAGCTCAGCGCGAGCCCAATCGATTGAGTCAACCTTCTTGCCGTAGAGACCGAATTTGCCCAGGCGGTGGGTAGGGCGGCTCTTCTGAGGAATCCAGCGAGCGGCGACCTGACCAGGCTCGGCGTCGTTGGAGGGAGCAGGCTTCTCGGCAGAAGCGCCATTCTTGATGGCCTTGAGGCGCTCCTTGTTGACGGCCTTGATGAGCTTGACCTCGGCGCCCTCGAGCTTCATGGCAACCTTGTCACGCTCCTCGACGAGCTCGTCAAGGTCCTTCGTGGTGCCAGCGATCCAGAGATTCTTCACCGAATCGCTGAACACGATGCGCAGCTTGCTTCTTGGAGGTAGCGCAGGCACCAGAGTGAACAGGACGGTGCGCGGAGGAATTGCGCCTTGCCGTAAGGTGGGCGACAGCAAGAAAGCTTGCGCAGGTTGATGTAGAAAGAATGCACTCGCGGAAGATGGTGTACCATAACAAAACCGTAGAAAGAGGGGCGCCGATGAACGCGTGCGCGTAGAGGCGGGTCTTGTTTGAAGACTTGGAGATGTCAATGTTTGACATGCTCAAGATATTGAGTTCCTTCTGGCCGCCGCCGCCTGTCGCGTTGACGGGAAACAGGACGGGCCATGTCATAAGGAGACCAACGAGGCAGATGGTAGCGCAAATGCGCAGGAAGCGGAGGAACAGGTAGGCATCAAGAGACTGGGACTGGAGGGCGACGATGTCGGGAATCTTCCAGAAGGCGCCGATCCAGTTGAAAAGACCGTTGGGCAGGGCGGGCGTACGTTCCTGCTCACGCAGGCTGCCTAGATAAGTTCGGGGCGCGTAGAAGCGGCGCTTGCTCCTGCGCAGAATAAGGAAGATGGTGAAGAGCACGGTGGCAGTGATTACGACTGGCACGAAAGTTGAGACCATGCCTGGGATTTGGTGTTAGCAAGCGCATTTATCGCCAGTTCACGATGTTTTGACCCGGAGAGTATTGTGGACGCACCAGAGAGTGATGCCGTCTCCGTGCTGGAGTCGCGGGCTTCGCCCTGCGACTGCCGCTTGGAGAACCTGAGGGCGTCCATGATTGCGAGCGGTCGCGCGACGTCGTTAGAGGTGAATCGTCGTGACCTCGAGCCGATCGCCAATGGAACGATGAGAGGTTGTTGGGTCAAGTTGGTCTTCCAAGTTTGAGGAAGAAAGTCGACGACAAAGAGGGGGGATCAAGGGAGGAAAAGGCGGAAGAGAGCCAAGATCCAGGTGCCGATCTGTGTGACGCTGGCAAACGGCAGTGACGTGACCAGGGGGGAACGGGTGCTTGGTCTAGGTACTGCACTGCATGCAACAACAGCCAAGCGACGCAATCGGGACGTGTCGATCTTGCCCTCGACGAAAGAAGGGGCAGGATGAAGGACGCGGTTGGTGTGATGCGTCAGTCGATTTCGTTCTGTTTTTCTGTGGTACCCTTTACCAGTGACCAAAGGTTGGCAAGGTCAATGACAAGCTACAGCGAGCTAATGCTGCTAGCGTCAGGCCTTCGTTCCTCTTGTGATTGCGGGTGGAAAGTGATGTCTCGGTTGTGCTGTGAGATGGCGTAGATTCCCCTGCGGTACGCGCCGAGCATGGAGTACCTGATGGTGTGTCGAGGACGCAACAGAAAAACCTGGCACCAGGGTCGCAGTCAACGGAGAGGTTCACTTGCTTCGTGGACCAGATTAGGAGACGAGACGAGATGGAATCATGCTCGAATTAATAAGGGTCCATCTAAGAAGGAATATCAGGGTTTTCTGATGCATCAGGACAACTGGGGTGTGCTGGGAGGGAACTGCAGGTTGGGTGGGGGATGGGTGACTGGCGCTGGGGATCCGGGAGCTGGCAGCTGGGAAACTTGGCCTGGACAGGCTGGAGCAGCCTCTGCGCCTCCCCCTCGAACTCCAAAGGTCGAGTGTGACGGGGGTGCCCTCTATGACGCAGATTTGCAGGAGGGATGACAACAGGGGCCAAGCCAGCCATTACTGGCTACAAGGGGGAACTGAACCCCTGTCGAGCTGGACAGCTCTCCGCAGGACAGGGAAGCCGCCAAGGTCTGGAATGGGCGACGGTGGGTGGTTGTTGCAGTCGCAGACCGCCTGATGCTGGTCGGCGCGTGGGTACTATTGCCCAAAGCTGTAGTTTGCATCTCCTGAAATTGGACTGTCTCCACATCAATGACGGTCACTGCCGTCCATTGAATCGGAAGACGAGGTGGGAAGGCGCCCAAGCGTCAAGACTTTCCCACCACACCGTTCGTGCTTGCCTTGACGATCAACGTTCACGCTGGCTGACCAGCAGCTCCTGCCCCACAAACCCTCCCAAAGTAGCAGATCAGCATGCTCATGATCGTGGCAGTCCTGAGGGTGGTGGATGGATGCGCCTGCCGTGTCCCCTTCACACCACTTCCACTCAAAGGACCCTGAGAAGGCGAAGGTGTCCGGAAAACCCATCACTAATCCATCACATCATGATACCTTATTCTTCTACCTGTCGCCTTGAGTGTGGACATCCCTTGCAACCTATCTGATGGCCAGGCCGCTGCAAATGCCCCGACTGCCTGCATCCACGATCGACCAGGGTTTTGCTTCGAAACGATCGAGACAGGATCCCCGTCGCGTATGTACTTCAGTAAATACAGGAGTGATGCACTACGGTCATGGACGGCTCCATCTCCAACCTCTACACCTACACTGTCTGCATATGACATGCCCTGACATCTGAGCCTTCAGTCCCCTCCTCGGTTGCATAGTGATGGAATAGTAGGCGAAGCGTCTCCGTCTTCGTCATGCCTCACACAGGACATGCGGACTGCCAAACAAGACGGGCAGTTTTCGGTGTACGCGAGCGTGCTGTCAGGTCAGTACCCAAATCAATGCAAAGATAGTCCATCTCCCTTTACCCTTTCCATGCCTAGCACATCCTACCACCTTGGTCCACGGGGCGCCAATGACTGATTGACCAAAACCTTCCCATTTCCGGCCCTGTCGATGGTGAACCTTGATAACACTTGGCCGGTTGTCCGTCCTGGTTTATCCCCCCACTTTAACAACCTTTCCATCATCGTGATCGCGATTCCAATGCCGATAGCCCGGCATGCCTCAGCTGGACATCTTCATCACTGCCATAGTCTGGACAATTTGAGGACGACTCAGCTGATGAGCAGCACACACAGGAAACACTGCCGCACTCGCACCACGCCCGACAAGGTGCTCGCGGGACGCAGCGCAGGTCGAGAACGTTCCTGGCAGGCCTCCCGGTGACACGGCGCCTGCCCAAACGATGCCATCTGTGCATCGGTGGCTTTGTGACCCATCGCGTGGCCATCTCTCAGTGCTCCAACATCCCAAACGGTGTCTTTCTCGGAAATGGCCTTCATCGACATGGGTGTGGCTCAGACACTCCCACACAACATCCCTAGCTGAAGCGTGCATCGACTGGTCTCGTCCCCGCGGCTAGTGCCGGTGGCCACCCTTTATCGAAGCCACCTCCATGCCCGCGGTGGCCCAGATTTACCCACTTGCATCTGCTTGTATGCGTCGTGGTGCCCAAATGTCTGACAGCCTGCTACATATACAGCACAGGTGCTGGCAAGCTCGTCGAGCGTGGCATCGCGCCTGAGGCTCCTGGACTCTTCCTTCCGCAGTCTCAGAAGTCTACTCGTCAGATCTCCAGGAATGATGAACAACAAGGTCAGATGCTGAGGGTTGGCAGTGTTCCCAAGGTGTTTGGGCCACAAAGATCGACTCGCTCTTTCACGTTCGCGTCGCAATTTTAAATTGCCGAACGAAGGTCCACGTCGCTTGATGCAAGACCACCGCCCGTTGCTGCACGGCTTTCGACAGTCTGCAGCAAGGGTACAGGGCCTCCAGCAACCTGGCCCGATCTGGCAGCAACGAGCCTGCATGGGAAGCCCTGGTGAGCGGTTTCTGAATGGCTTCATGAACGGGCACAATACCCGTCCGACATGATCATTCTCCTGTCGTCCTTCCTTCCGTCTTCCGATCCTCGATTGGAGCCACAGTTGACAGACTGTTGACCTTCTTTGCCACCGTTCGGGGCTTGGCACAACGAATAGCCTATGTCTTGCTCCCTTGCTTACCCTGACCCTTTGTCTCCTTTGTCGGTTTAATTCCATGACTTCTTTGGTAACACAAATGCTTTCTTTGAGAGCGAATCACCTGATGTTTGTTGTCAAAGCCTTCGAATCCTTTCTTTGTTTAAGACATATACACAGTATTGGTAGAATACCCTTTATCTTGGCTTGTTGGTCAAGTTGATTGTGATAAACAAACATGCCCTCCGAGATGGTTCACTCCTTGCGTTGCTCATTGTTGATCATTCGCGATACTGAAATCGGGCACTCTCTACACAAGCCTCAGTTGTAAGAGTTTTTCGCGTTGCTTCACAAATCCTGAGCACTGGGCATAATGACAGTGACCCCAGCGGAAGCGCCAACAACACAGGCCCGGGGGGCGGTCCCCAAGACTCAATATGCCACAGCGTACGAGTCGCGATACACAAAGCACTTTGGGCCTGGAAATCAACTCTATGCGCATGTCAACTGCGGTTATCTCTCGACACCCGGGGCGCGCGCCGACACTCCTGGCTTTAAAGCAGCATGCACAGTCATTGTCCATTCTCATTAGAAATATTTGGGGTGAGCACGGCATTTTGGAGAGCTCAACAACAAGAACCGAGGTTGTGGTCTCACGGACTCGCGAGTTCAGGGAGAACGAAAACCTTCGACTGTCTTAACGACATCATCACGGCCCTACACGACATGGACGAGTGCATCAAAAGCCGTTGACGGGAGCTCATGAACCA